AGGAGACCTTGACCTGGAGCATGACACTTCCAGAAATTACAGTGCTGAAGCTCAGGAATCATTATTAGTTCCTTCTGGACTACGAGGTGGCATTGAAATTATTGCACACCTTTCTAACTGACTCGCATCCCAGAATTCCCTTCATTTGGAGGGGAAAAATAAACTGCGTGTTTCTTCGTTTCTTCATTTCCAAAGAAATGGGTGACTCAGTGGTGGCTTTCTCGAAGGACATGTGGCAGAAAATGTTCAATAGCTGAGCTTTTAATCGGATGTTAGCTGAGAGTGGCATGTCAGTCATGGCTTATGCTTGGTGTGTTTTCTAATGATGGCAAATTCCAGTGAGTAGGTACTAGATAAGCCCACTGTTAACACCTTTGAATCAGAGGCATTTGTAGTGATCGTTGAATATTACCACTGAACATGCTGGATAGCACTGAAGTGTGGGAGGAGGCTGGGTTTTGAAGATAAGACCCACAATCGTGGAAAATGGCCCTAGAGCTTGTCTGGCAGCCAATGTATTGCTAATTGATTGGCATGTGTTGTTTCTGATCTCCGGATCCAATCTCTAATTTCATGGAGCCAGACCCTGTAGCACTGTAATTTGCTGGAGAGTCTCCCACATGCTGCTCATGCATAAAGACATCTGCTGCTTATTTGAAGAGAGCCAAGCCATTTCTGTGCCTCCTGTATCTTCCTCCAGAGTTGTATATAGAAGAACCAGGAATTGTTGTGTAGGTGTGGAGTAGAGTTTTCTCTCCCAGGATCTGTCCCAAGAGGTGCTGAAGCCAGCTGCTCTAAGGAAAGGTGCAGCTGTGGATGAACCACTCAGGGACAATGTGTTCCTGAGTGGTTGTTCTCCCCAGTTCAGCTAAATTTGACAAGCTCTTTTCATTTTGGAGTTGTTGTGGATGCAGTTGTGAGAACAGCTTTGTTGGTATTGTCCCTCCTTTTAGACAGGAACTTTAACGTCTTCACTATTGTTTAATGATCTTAATTCTCTCATGCTAAATACTCTAAAGATATTTAGCTAAGTGATATTATCTCTAAATCCTTCACTCTCTGGGTTTGTTGGATGAGTTGCATTGTTTTCTTCCCTCTGAAATCGCATTGATATTGATTTGTAATCTCCTGCAGAGAAGCAGATGTTCTTGACCCTCTGCACAGATATTCTTGTAATTCATGCTGATGCTGTTTTGGCTATTTAGATGCAAACTGTACCTAAAATCTGTTAAGGCTTCAAAATGAAGTACTAAGAAATTTGTAAAAGTGCTTGCTTTCCTCAAGCCTGAATTATGTAACATACTACTTTGTGTTTTTTCACCTTAACCCCAAAGAACTACTTTTCTTATTTAGTGTATAATTGTGCAACTATCTGAACCCACAAGTTTTCTCACTTTTTACTCTTCTGTTTATCTCCCTCTTCACACTGCGGGGGGGGAGGGGAATGAGTAAGCATCTGTGTGGTGCTTAGCTGCCAGCTGGGGTTAAACCATAACAGTCCTTTTTGGCATCCAACACGGGTTGAGATAAAGACAGTTTACTAGGAAAAGCAAAAGCCACACGCACAAGCAAAGCAAAATAAGGAATTCACTCACTGCTTCCCATCAGCAGGCAGGTGTGCAGCCATCTTCAGGAAAGCATGACATCATATGGTATGGAATATCCCTTGGGTCAGTTGGGATCAGCTGTCCCAGCTGTGTCCCCTCCCAACTTCTTGCACATCCCCAGCCTACTCACTGGTGGGGTGATGAAAAGGCCTTGACTCTGCATAAGCACTGCTTAGCAATAACTAAAATATCCCAGAATTATCAACACTGTTTCGAACACAAATCCAAAACACAGCCCCATACTAGCTACTGTGAAGAAAATTAACTCTACCCCAGCCAAAACCAGCACAAGCTGGTACGTCCATCTCCTATGTGCAGTCAGGAATCAAAGTTCAAAGCAGTGATGGTCAAAATTATGCAGTGTCAGTTTACTGTTGGATGCCCAAATTTAAATATTTAGGACTTTCTTTCTCAGAGTACCTAGCACACAGGCATACACGTGTGTATCTTATTTAATATGCCCAAAGCAAAGTCCCAGTTGACTTTAGTGGCAACTTTGAGTGTTCAATGCAGTTGAAAAAATGAAGATGTCATTGAAGGTCTTATCTAAAAGTAGATCTACAAACATTAGAGCTGTTCTTTTGTTGTGAAAAATTGTAAGAATGGAAGAAATATAACAGGAAAATAAGAGCTGTGATTAGATGTAAAAATGTTCATGCATTCAGTGTGGATGAAGACAAAGTTGTTTCTTAACCTTGTTGGAAAACGGGGCCATAGCTGCTTAGCGAAAAGCTCATGCACATATATGTGGTGTCAGTCAGTATCATGTTTTTATAGTCTGGCTGGAGTTGAGAGGAACTGAAGGGCAATTTCCAAAACATACAACTATTGAACAGAAGAGTTTCTTTTCAGTATGTGCAATCAGTTTTTTAGAGCATGTTATTCTATATATAGAACACATTTTGCACAGATACATACCTAAGCCTTTAGGAAAACCCTGACTGCGTTTCAAAATCTATCTCCAAACCATGGAAACACTAGAATTTCTTCTGGTAAAAATGTTCCTACAGTATTCTCAGTAACATGAAAAAATTTAGAAGAATCTTCCCGGAGAGCCTGTCTTAGCCTGGAATTCTGAATCTGAAAAGATGTAAAAGGTGCAAATGTGGTCAAAACCTTTGCATCCAGAAGCATTTCCCTTGAAGTTTATGCATCTTAAAAGGTAAGGCAGGAGGCTGGGGATCTGTATTTGCACAGAGCTTTGATGTGGCATCCAGAAACTGCTCAAATATTTCAGAACTTGTCTTCACAGCATCCTGTCACTGTGTGCTGGTTTTGTCTGGGATAGAGTTAATTTTCTTCATAGTAGCTAGTATGGGAATCGGGATGCAGGGGAGTTTTAAATTCTCATTACTCTGAGTGGGTGACTGCAGCATTTTTGGCATCTTTAGTATTAGAACACTAGCATACGGTTCCTCTCCTAATTTATGTGACTCAACCCCTTAAAGCCATCTAAGTTCCCTTCTAGGCAGTTTTCTCAAAACTAAGGAAATACATTATTACATGCATATCTGCTATGCCTTGTAGCCACAAGTGAGCCAGGCTCTCATTGGTTTCTGTAGCATCTGGACATGTTGGGTACTGCTGTTTTAAGAAGCAAAGGGCATGAGAAGAAGCTGGCACTAAGAGTTGAACTGACTTGTCCCAGTCACCAAGAAGGCTTAATCCACTCACGTTTTGGCACTGGGACTGAAGGCTGAAACTGCCAGTGATCTAGGGAGTTGAGTATGGTCTCTGACACCAGCGTTGTCTAGCTGGGAGCCATGGCTATTTGGGGTTAAAGACAGTATTGAAACATCTGGTATTCTATATGGCATATGAGAAATAGTTTTGCTTTTACGCTTCTATTGAGTGTATGTTTGTAAATATTTTGATGATCACTTTTCCTGGAGAAAGGATAGACATAGGATCCAATTAGTTTATGGTTGAGAGTGTCAGGGACGGACAATGCATGCAAGTAGCTGCTAGGGTTGCTCCCATGGAGTAATGACTAGCAAGTTGCGTAGATCTCCACTCTGACAGGCACCGTAAAGGCAGTGGCTTTATAAATACAATTGGGATGTTCTTCCATTTCTCATGCTCCTGACAGGCTATTGAGCAGTCACCTAAAGTTCAAGTTGCATATCAGTCTGACCCACCAGAGGTTTATCAGCACCAAAGCTGCCAGACTTCACTGATTTGCATGGATGTTCCTTTATTTGAGGCGCGTAAAGCCATTTTCAAGGAGTGAAGGATCTGGATTTAAGTTGCAGTGAGATATCTTGTGCTTCACTTAAGACCACCCCTATAAAAGCTGACAAAGCGTGGCAGCCCTAGAGCAACTCCTTGTTCTCAAAGCAGCAGGACAGTGTTTTTATGCTGAAACATCTTTGATGAAAAATAGCTGGATTTTTTCTTTGTAATTCAAATGAGGAAAAATTGTGGATTTTTTTCTGCTTTGAGATGTTCTGGTCTTTCAGTGGAAACCTTACTTTTGGATTTGCTCTCTTTTCTATAAATAGGACAGGCAGAGAAGGAATCTGTGTGTAGAGTTGGAAGACACAGTTATTTTTCTCTCTCCTTATAAAAATTAGATTTTGTTCCTCACCAAGTAGATAAATTCTCTGAAAAGTCTTGATTAAAATAAACAGTGTTTGGTGTCTTTTAGAAGCTGTCGTTTTTATTTAAACCAATGTTGGATTTTAAACATAAACACCAAATTGAGGAAGCCTCCCAGGTGGCTATGTCCTGGAGTGACAAATTTCCTCTCCTTAATCAAAGCATCAATGGGAGCAGAGGGGAACTCTTTACTTGTTCCTTACCTTGGTAGTGAAAAGGACTCTTCTGAAGATGAATACGTGAAGGTGCACATGAAAACAAGACATCATAGGCAGAGTGAATTTGCTGGCAGTGTGTGGAAGGGAGAGCAGGAGTCTTCAGTCACTTTACAGCTTTCCTATGAGGTGCTTCCATTGGCAGGGAAAAGCGTGAAAGCACGTTCACACTTCCTATGGAGGTGACCCTCTAATTGAATATCACTGGGAAATGTGTCAGACACAGTGAAAATAATCCCTGTGGGTGCAAACCCCACTAAGCACGCTGCCTTAGGATTGCGTTTTCTCCTGTTAGGCCGTAGCCACAGGCAATGTGTTTCACTAAAAGCTTTCGTGGCCTTCCTGCTGCTATTTAGAGGGAGCATCTTCATTTAACCTAAGTTCCAGTTCTACAGGGCAAAGAGCTGCTCCTTTTCCCTCTCTTAGTCCAGATCATCCCTGCAGCCATCCAGTCACAATGAAGGCAGCTTTTGCATGGGAAGAGATCTTTTGACCTTGGAATCCAGTCTTCCACCATTCCAGATTCAAACAGAGGATAAAAGCACCAAGGAGTGCCCCATTTTGGCAGTGGCAGGGTAAACTGTTATAATATTTGAACAAACAAACTTGTTTCTTGCTCTTGCCTTGGCTCCTGCTCTTAGTTTGAAAATGCACCTGTATCCTGTCGGCTCCCAGCACTGAGTCCTTGGCTGCTGAGAAGAAGACAGTAGCTCTGCTCAAACAGATAAATTACTTGGGGGAGAAAGACATTTTATCTCTGTGTATGTGAGATCTCAGAAAAGCTGCCTAATTACACTTTCCAAAAAGAGCATTTTGGAATCAGCTCTCTGGGCCCACTCTGCCCAGCAGGTTTTTTAAATTGGATACAGAAAGGCAGAGCTGAGCAAAATGAGGGGAATTGCCTCTTCTCTGTTGATTTCTTCACCAGCCATTAGCTGTTTTCTCACTGACGCCACCGCAAAAAGTGGCAAGTGTGATCAGCATTTCAGGGCTGCTGCTGCTGCCAGCCCCCGAGCTGGGGAGGAGGAGAGCTCCTTTCTCCTCACTTCCCAGAGCTGTTCTGTGTTGAGCCCAGTGACTCAGGCCTGAAACAGGGGAAAAAAAATCTTCTATAATAGCACAGACATGGCAGGGTTAAAAAGGCATTGCTGTGTAGCGTAGCTGGTGGGATATGGTGGGAATACTGCATGCAGCACGTTCTATGCTGCAAAGTGATACATACCATGTACACAATTCTTAGTGAACCCTACGGCATGTAGTGGATGGGAGGAGGAATCGAGGAAAGATGCAGAAGGCAGCAGGGAATTTGGATGGTCTCATTTACATGATGGACAGTGTTTTCATCTCTTAGTTTGCCTGCGGTCTCTCTAATAGTGAATAAAGGACTGAATAACACAAATCACTTTCTTTTTTTAATATATGGCAGAATAAGACATGCTCTCAAGAGGTTGCAAGACATCCTTCCTTAATAAGTTGAGAAGGATCTGCTGGCCCAGATAAATCTGTGCTGTGAGCATGCCTTGTGCTCATTTCAGAATGCATTCCTGAAGTCCTTGAATTCATTAAACCCTAATTAGCAATGAGAATTGATGATTAAAAAAATCTATAATAATAGGCAGACAAGTGTATATTGAGCTGTGAAGGCACCTCTGGGTCTGTCCTACAATTAGCTTTTAGGCAGTTTGATCTTAAAATAATCCTTCTATTTTCTCTGACATCCTAACCTTGCCTCTTGCTTTAGCATTTGACGTCACAGCCTCCAAAGCTGTTGCCTGGAGTTTTGTAGGGGTTACCCTCCACAACAGGTTGTGAGACTTACAGGCAAAATGAAAAGTAAAATTGGAAACAAAGAGCAAAGTTAACATCCTGTTGCAAAATTGTACTATATTTGGAGGGCAAGTATTTTGATTACTGCTTGTCTGCTAAAAAGCTTTAATGAAAACAAAATGAAAACTGCTGTGAAAACCCTATATCAATCATTCTTTGAGATAATTTCCCATGTAAATTGATAGTATCCTAACTGTAGTAATTGATGATGATACAGCAAAAGAAAAATATCCAGGAAGACAGAATACCTTCCTGGTCTTGGACTGTTAACTCCAACCAGAACAGAATTCCCACTGTGGTTGGGACCTCTTCATGGACAGGACCTCTGAAAGACACAATCAGAGTAGCCACTTCAAGCATCTGTGATTTTTGTCAACTCCTGGAGGTTTCAGCAAATAGCAGAGCGCTTTATTTAATAAATTAATTTATGAGAAATGAAGTCTGTGCCTATGTCTAGCTTTAAGACCTTCCCATTGAAAATGGTCCAGCATGTGGTCCAAACCACTGTACAGCAGGTTTTCAGAAAAAAGAGGTAGTGGTATACCTCTAGAACCAATTAGAGCCATTATAAACTTGCTTCTGCACCTTTTCACACAATGGTGAAACTCCTGCTGAGAACCAGGTTGTATATGCATCTAGTCACTTGCAGGTAGAGCAGTTTCAATTGTTTGTACACTTACCAGAACTGTTTCTTGTAGAAACATTGAAAATACAGTTTTGATTTGTAAGAACCTTCTGAAGGTGCTGAAGAATTAATTGTTCAGGGACACCAGTTGAGGGAAAGCCAAAAGATCTTTTTGAAAGGTCCACTGCTAACACATGTAAAAATCTTGTAAAACTAAAAACATTCCTTGCTACTAACTTCAAGGAGAGGACTTTAATGATCTGTACTTTGTCATAAATGCTGTATTATTGCCAGTTGTGGAATTTGAAGCACAAAGCTGTTTAACCAGCAAGTAGATCAGTGCATTTGATGCTTTTCTGTTGTCTTTGCTTTCCAGAACACTTCTGCAGCAGTTGCAGAGACTCCAAGCCATGGTTGCTGGGAAAGTGTCCCGTTCGTGTAAGGCAGCTAGCACGCAGACAGGGACCTGTCTTATGGTGAGTATTCCTAAAGCTGGGAATTGTAGGGGAATGAGATTCTCTTCTGCTCAAAGGCACACCCCTTGTTCTGTGAAGCCCCTCACTTGCAAATTCTCAGGTTGGGAAACTTCTTTTCAAAATTTTACAATTAATTTTGAGATAGGTGAGACTCCTGGCTGATGATTAATGGTTGTGGGAAGGCATTAGTTTCTAGAGAACACTGGGCCTCTGCTTTTGATTGGATGCTGCAGTGATGAAAGAAGGAGCACTGCTCGTCTGAATGACCTGTTTTATTATTTCGTACGATACTTTATGTGAGAATGGTGTCTAGAGTTGTAAAATGGAAACGAGAGTGACCTTTGATGCCTAGTCCTTTTGATACCAGTAAAAATAAACTTGCTTGTCCAAATAAAAATATGACTAAGGCTATAAATCTGCCTCTGGCCTATTTCAGTGAAAGTAGTCAACATAAGAAAAGGATTAGAATGAAGCTTCCCTTTTCCCTCCTTACACTCACTCTCAGCCAGCGAGTTCCCTTTGTACTGTATAGTGCTATAAATTGATGGAGATGATTCTCAAGGCCTGAATTGTTCTTCTAGTCTGCCAGCTTCTCTCTCACTTCAAAGTAAGATTGGGGCCAGCAGCAGAAATAACTTTGGAAATTCCCAACAGCATCTGTAAAACACACGTGGTGGTTGTGTCTGCTTTTCAACTTTGGGAGTAAATAATGCTACAGGCCAAAATGGTGGCAGACATTGAAAACAAACTCCAGCGCTGAAATCTGCCCCTTTAAACACTGAATTGTTATTATATATGTGCCTTTGCAAAGAGACACTGTCTGTAGTGATGAAATAGCCTCATATTATTTGTTCTGAAAAAACAAAGATCTGCTTTGTGTTGATTCTTAGTTTTCATGTGCACGTGTGTGCCAAGAGCTAGTGCACTTATCTCTTCTGCATCCTCCCTTTGCCAGATGGTGGTGCTGTGCTTTGCAGTAGTTTTTGGCAGCTTCTCTCAGAGCTATGGGCCATATCCTTCTGCTACAAAGATGGTGTTGCCCAGGCAGCATTCCTCGCCAGAGTCCTACACAGACTCCATTGGTAAGTGACAACTGTCCCAGTCTTGCTCCCTGCTTGGTTGTGCTTCAGTATTTGTTTTCCACCCCCATCCCTAACCCCCCTTCTCAAGCACCCCTTGCTTTTCTGCACCTTAGTGAGACATTTCTTGATATACCTGTGTCTTTCAAAGGATAGCCTGGCAAGCTGTTCTGGTGGCAGAAGACTTCATAGACACAGGCAAAGCCTTTCCCCACTAGCCTGCTTGGTACTTCTGTTTAAAGCAGTTTTGTTTCTGTTTGTGGAACTAAAGCTAGTGGTCTGTAAAAGGTAGTGGGATTTCTACACGGTAGCAAATGTTCATGCTGTTAAAATGAGCAACTGATATCAGCTGGTGTGTCCTTCGCAAGTGTCAACAAAGAGTCCAAGAACTGAGTGGGAAACTGTTAGTATTATATGCCCATAATGAACCAGTTGCTTTCAACATATATTATCAAAGTGATTGTTTAATTTTGTTCTTGTTTTGTGAATAATTCAGAGCTTTTTGATCCCTGCCTTGCACCATTGCTGTGGTATATTCCTCCGCTATCAGATTACCAGTTAATCACTATGAAAAGACCTTTGCAGCTTAAGTTCTGCTCTGATGGTTTCTGTTTCCTGAAATGACCAGGGCTGTTCTCTGAGCTGCCTGTTTCTCATCTCTTATTGCCTTCTGTCTTTGTATGCAGTGAGGTCAAGGAGTCTGCTAATTTATGAAGAGCCTCACCAACTGGAGGAGTCGTCAAGCCCGATCTCCTTTGCAGATCGCAATGACAGGCAAGCAGACACCTCCAAGTACACAGCGCTGTCCCTGGAAGCCATGCCAGGAACACAGCAGGATGATATCATGCAGTTCATGATAGCCAACGAGACACGGCTAGAGAAATCGGTGCTGCTGGGCCTGCAGCAGCACAGGTGAGTGCAGGGTGGGCTGTTTGTCATATGGGTGTTCAGCATCACTGTCATTTGTGCCTGGAGGCCAGCAGTAAGACTAGGGGCTCAGCTGTGCTGGGAACTGTGAAACATGAAGTAAGAGTTTGCCTATAAGCTCTCCAGATAGAGACCAAAGTTATTGTTAATCTGGACAAGTGGTTGCAACAATATTGTAGTAATACAGCTACCAAACTTAGTGCTTCTGCCAGAAACCTAACTCCTGTAAGCCTGTTAGTTGTGCCTGCCCACTTCTTTAAGCGCTTACTTCTGTGTCTCCTAAAGGAATAAGCTTTTGTCAGTTGGGTGGAAGTGTGAGGCTGTGACTCACTGGACTTTCTGTGAGGTTAGGGTGTGAAGAGCTGGAGCTTCTTTTAGATCTTACTCTAAAGCATCACTGTGGAAAGTTTGCAGGACTCAGTGTTAAGAGACAGACCTGTAAAGTTATCTGAACTACTTAACACAGAGCTCCTTCATAATATTTTTTTTAGCGTAAATGTAAGTTTTTGCGCCCTCTGCAAAGAGGGAGATTCACTAGTTTAAATACGTGGGTGCAGTATTCTTTCCACTCTACCTTTTCTTGTCCTGCCACTGTCCTGTTGGCCCAGGTTTTGGACTCTGCTAACAAGCAGGAGCAAGCACACCAAAGAGTGCAAAGAGGGATTTTGTTTGGAAGCATGCTATTCTGAGGGCTAGGATGAGCCATATCACCCCAAGTATGCCTTCTGAGCACTTGTGTCAAAGTTATACCTAGAGTCAAAGAGATGACTAATTCAGTGTGTTACCATACTCCAACTGACAAGTACCTGGTAAATCCTGAGTGCCTTTTTAGCATTAGCGAATTCAAGCAGGATATGTGCTTTTAAAAATTACTATTAGCATTAACCGTTGTTGGTTTGGTTTTTTTGTTCCCCGCAGAGTCAACTCCGAACTAGAAGGAAATGAAACACTGAAGATAATTGAAATAGATAGAAGAGTCAATGCCACCTCTTAAAAATAAAAAGGCCTTTTTTCTTGACTTCCCTTTTTCCCACATATTTTCAACCAAAGTCCCCCTGACTTGTCATCCTCAGTGAACCAAAGCACAAAAGAGAGGGAGTTCAACTTCTGCATTGACTGGTGAGGCTGTGACTGCAGATGGGATCTCTCATCTTTGTAACTCCCTTCCTCACTTCACACAAAGTCCCTGTCTTTGCTTTTATTCCTCTCCTGTCTGATACTGCAAGAGGAGGATTGAATTATGATGGCAGATGATGCCAGCAGTGTGCCGGTGGCTGGTGGGTATGTGTGCGTGCATGCACACATCCTAATCTGAGCACAAAGACATTCTGTAGAAGAGTGGAATATGTAGAATTGATGGGAGTATGTGGGTGATAGGTTTCTTGGGAGAGGGAATTGAGAGAAAGAGGAAATGCAGCATAACGCTGCTCAGAATCTAGCCACAGCTCTGTGCCTACTGATCTACAGCACCTGAGCCTCTTGGGGGGATTGAGAAGCATGCTGTGTAGTCTGCTTCTGAAGGGACAAGAATGGGCCCTGGATACTGTGGGGTTAACAGCACAGACAGGAGAGGGGTGGGCGATGATGGATGATGCCGCTGAATTGTCCTCCCCTAGCTCTTCCTCTCTTCTCCCCTGCAGCCCCTTTATCATTTAGTGGGGTAGGTTTCTCTCTGGGTTGAAAACAATCCTAGTAGGCTTCCCTACTCCTTCCACCCTTGTGGAATTGAAGCAAAGATCAGTCGCTGTCTTGTCACACTTTGTCTGTGTGGGAGAATTACACTAGTTTAACTAAATCTGTTTAGAAAGCAGGTTTTGTTAAATTTATGCAATGTTTTGGGTGGATGTCCTTTAGTCTGCTTAAGGCTAATATGTTTAGCTTAAATCAGTTTCTTCCCAACAAACTAAATCAATGTAAGGCTTAAACCAGAAGTGCCTCCTGAGAGGACCATGTGGATTTAATTTATTGGCTTCTAGATGCCTTGATGGAATTTCTTACGTAGACCCGTTCTCAGATTGTGCTGCATTTTCCTTTCCTTGCCATCTTCCTGTTACTGTTGTAAATAGTATTTATTAGCTTTGCAACATTTTGTTCAAGCAGTTGCAATGGAGAGAATTGAGCTTCCCTAACCCTGCAAGTGGTCTGGGCAAACTCCAAAATCAGACATACAAATATCACTAACACCCATTCCTTCCCCGCCAGACTTGAACTGCCCTAAAATAAAGCCATGGGTCTTACCTTCCTCTTACCTCCTTTTCCAGAGATGTGATCTTAAACCAACTGCTTAGCTGAAAAAATAAGGGATATTGGTAGCCCCAGCTAGGCACAGTTCAGGCCTGGAGGTGGTAGCTACTGTATTGACTGTATGGCAAGACAGCTCCTGACCTGAGGAACTAAGTATGTAGGCAGCAGACAAGGCAAAAGAGAGACGGGCATACAGGGAGGTGAAGTGACTGGCCCAAGTTCAGTGGAAATGCCAAGAGCAGTATTCAGGTCTGATCCTGGTCCAGTACTCTTCTCCCTGCTTTGTTTCCTCCTTGTCCCATGTAGCTGTTGGCCTTTAAGGGTCTTCCTTCTCTCAGTGCCCTGGTCGTGCCTTTGCCCAAGCTGTGCTTCTTGCAGTTTGTCCTTGGAGTGGCACAGTCGAACCTACCCCAGGATTTAAGCAGGGTTTTTTCTTGTTGCACAGAAGGGCGCTCAGACTGCATTGAGGATGGATTTAATGTGAAAATCCTAATTCAGCAGGCTAGCATGAATACACAATTTTGAAGCTCTTTTTTCTTTTTTTTTTCCTAAAGATAAATAAGGGAAAAACTAACATAGCCTTACAAGTAATTTTTTACCATGTATAGTTGATATTTCCTGCAAGTATTCTATTTTGTAAAATATCAGATTTGTATTTTATTACAGCAGCTGCCACATCATCTCCTTTCTTGTTCTTCATTCTCCTTAGACTTTCTTCCTTCGGTATCCTATTTTGCGCCCTCAGGCCTGACTCAAAATTAATGGAAAGAATTTGGTGGGTTACAGCAGGCTGTGGATCGGTCCCCACTGTGCCATTTTAAGAAGGTGTTTTACACTAGAGGCAGTGAAACATGTACCTGACTCCATGAAGTTGTAATGAGTTTTGGTGTACTGACGTGCTTTCTAAGTAATGCCCTGTTCTTCTATGCAAGTGCCTTTTTATTATTTTACCTTTGGTAGCAATGAGAGGAGAAATACCATAGTAGTGTATTTTGCAAGTGTTGCCTTCTTCTTGGCATGGGTCAGTCTCCTCCCTAAAGCCTCTTTCCC